CTCACAGAACTATTGCCTGCTATTTTGCTTTGGCTCTGAAAGTGGGTCACTTTGCACCCAGGATAGATTATACAACCCATGCTGGCCGATTGGTTCTGTAGTGAATCAGATAAAGCAGAAGCCAAGGGATTCAGTAAATCTTAAGAGTGTGTCAAGTGCTCATTATATGGCTCTAATACAGTAAGATTCCCTTGGTGCTTTCCACTGAATGGTCAAAGGGACCAAATCAGAAATTGTAAAATTTGTCTTTATGATGCAGTTTTAAGATGATGCGGATGATGGTGACTACTGCAATGCACTCTGCATAGGAAGCTTTAATTGGTGTAGCACATAGAAGACATAATTGGCACGGAAAATGCAACTAAGCTACTAATAAGTGCATCGTACCAGGACCCTATTATTTAGTGCTGAAAGACCTGTGCTGATCACCAATTGTTTTCTGGGTTAAATTCAAGGATCTATTTTCAATATTTAGAGCCTTGATATAGCATAGGGTCTGGTTATTGGTTGGATTGTCTGTCTTGTTATGAATATAATTTTGTTATTAAAAGCTACAGTGGAGCCCTCTTGAGGACATTCTTCTCTCCCTAGGCCTGCTTGATGGGCTTGCGTCTCCTGGTTGATGCAAACCTGTGGTGTACATTCACTTCAGAATTCGGATTGGTCCCTGCTCTTCCTCCTTTTGGAAAAGCTTGTTAACTCTTTTTTAAAATTAGCCATTGAAAAGGTTTAACTTATTTTATTGTTGTCTCCCTGCTATTTCTCTAAATATTTTTTTTCCAGGATTTTTCCACCCAATATTTTATGATTTTTGTCTTATACTGTATAATGGCTTGTCTGGTTTGTGTCAAAAAGCAGTATATCAATATCAACATCAACATCAATATCCCTCCATCTGCAGATATGAAGGATCAACATCTTAAACCATTAACAACAGGATCAAGCACAATTCCCATTCATGTACACTTTTATTTCTGCTAGCTGGCACAGACTAGTCTCTGAGTATGTGTGTGTGTGTGTATGTATGTATCTATGTATGTATGTGTGTCTGTGTGTGTGTGTGCGCGCGCATACACACACACACATACAGAGAGAGAGAGAGAGAGAGAGAGAGAGAGAGAGAGAGAGAACTTGAGTCTCCATCTCTGTGCATACACACACACACATACAGAGAGAGAGAGATCTGCCAGCTAGGAGATATATATATACCCTATAAGACTGCTAAATTCATTAAATAAGCCATGGAAAGACGGAACTCATTGCCAGCTTCACAAGCTCTCCAAGTTAATTTCACAACTCGATACTTATTTGAGAATGCTCATTTTATTATTATTTTATACCATTCTGATTGTTTGTATGTTCTTATATTAGATGCCAAATTTATTTTTTTAAAGACTGGTTTAATCTCTGCTCATGCATACAACCTGACTGGCTATAAAGCATCTATTCCCAATATCAGTATCAATATATTTGGATATTATTATAGAAGCATAGGTCCCCTAAGTATGATGTCATGTGGAGCCCCTGTATTAGCCCTGTGTTTGACTGAATTAGAACTTAAACTAGAAGTGCCAGCACCAGCAACTACTTGAGAAATGAGTGTTCTTGGGGATCATGTCAGCAGAACTGAAAAGAGGAAGGCGGACAGCCGGAGACAGGTCTCTGCATGTCACCGTTTCTTGCCCCAACCAACCTGTTTGGTTGATGTTGATGTTGTTGTTTTTGAACTACTGTGGCACCAAAAGACATCATCTGTCTATCAGCTTTCCCATCGCTTGATCTTTCTGCTGGCTGACAGAACAACCCTTGACTGAGGAGACACAATAGGTTTTCAGAATTACCTGGGCTACCTTGCCTACTATGTGAAAGTGCCTTCAGCATTTCATGGCTGCTACCAAGACTTACTTTATTTTCAAGCAGCTAACAGTGTGCTAATAGACTAGCATTTAGCAATACTGTGTTCAGTCTGCTGAAAAATAAAACAAAACAGCTGTCATGTCAACTTAGTCTATGTTGTAAACATTGTGGGAAGAAATTGTAAGGAAGAGGAGAAGAAAGCCTGTTGGCAGTTATGATCATCATCTTAGAACTGCAGAGCTAGAAGGGACCCTGTGGATAATAAAGTCCAGCCCCTGTCAAGGAGTCCCAGTGGAAAACTGGACTCCCAACCTCTGGTTCACAGCCAGATGCTTAAACCAGTGAGCTATATAGCAAGAATGGGGGCAATCTGGAGAGTAGAAAAAAATATTTAGTAGGTGTAAACCCCAAACATTTCTTGCACATTAGGAATTCCTCTATGATGTAGTGGACAGAGCGATGGACTAGTACTAAGGAGAACTGGGTTTGAATCCTCACTTGGCCATGGAAACTGACTGGTGGGGAGGGTGTTGTTGTTGTTTAGTCATTTAGTCGTGTCCAACTCTTCGTGACCCCATAGATGAGAGCATGCCAGGCCGTCCTGTCTTCCCTCCCTAAATATCTCACTTACCTTGAAAGTTCTGTTAGGGTCACTACAGGTTAGTTCCAACTTGATGGTACATAATACAGTGAGTAATAAAGGCTGGGTACCTCAGAGCTGGACTGTTTGGCTGTTGAGTCAATGGTTGGGAGTTTAAATTTCCCACTGTGCTTCCTGAGAGCCAGACCATGTAGCTTTAGACAAGCTGCACAGTCTCAGAGCATTACAAGATGAAGGGACTGGTAAACCCGTTCTAAGGGACGCGGTGGCGCTGCAGGTTAAACCGCAGAAGCCTCTGTGCGGCAAGGTCAGAAGACCTGCAGTCGTAAGATCGAATCCACACAACAGACTGATCCCCTGTCGCTTGTCCCAGCTCCTGCCAACCTAGCGGTTTGAAAGCATGCAAAATTCAAAATGCAAGTATATAAATAGGTACCAGCATGGTGGGAAGGTAACGACGTTCCATGTCTAGTCACGCTGGCCACGTGACCATGGAAGATTGTCTTTGGACAAACGCTAGCTCTATGGGTTGGAAACAAATTGTCAAGGGGAACCTTTACCTTTACCTAAACCCCTTCTGGATACTTTATATGTAGGAAACATTAACAAGGGTTGCCATCAATCGGAATAAATTTGATGGCACACAGTTACTACTACTACAGCTACAACATACATCAGAACAAATAAGGAGCCACTGACTCTCATTTAGGGCATGGCTAGATGGGGGAATTTGGAGCAATCCAGGTCATGTTTAAAAGAATCTTATCTGCATAGTATGATCTATTTTATCTTGCTCTTCTGGGATCCTGCCATTCACACAAAATTTGTTTCTTCTTTCGTGAGAAGGATTCAGAAAGCAGATCAGATTGCTCCAATTTCTGCCCCTTTCAGTTACTGACACCCTCCCCTGCCCTTTTCTCAGCCCTTTGTCATAGCTGTCAATCCACCAGCTGCAGTGGCTTCTCTCTTTTTGTTTAATTTAGCAAGTGCCATAGTACTACAGCAACACATGAACCTCGCATGGATACTCCTTTGTATCTGAAACAGTGTTGGGGCACTTAGAACAATTTTAAAAATTGTGAGAAGAGAAAAATAGAGGAGAAGGTTTCTCTTTGATTTTTTTTCTACTGAAACAACCCACTGCATGTACCATAGGGTTGTCACTGAAGAGAACACCGCCCACAGTTCCATTAGGGAGTAAATTAAGCAACCAACCGATAACTAGGATTGTTCCCAATTGCAAACCAAATAGTGAGCTATATGCTTGTCTGATGGTCTCCTGGGATCCAACAGAAGAATTCTAACAAAAGAATGGTCAATAGAACCAAAGGCGAGAAACAGTGAAAGTGTTTATGTGACCAAGCCTAGGAGCACATATGATGTAATACATACATACATACCGGGTTTCACCTGGGCAGAGCCCTCCTATGGGGGAGAGGTGAGATTGTGAGGTCCATAAGTCTAGCAGAAATGAAATCTGTTAAATATTTGCATAGTTAAGAGCTGAAGGTGTACAGTATATCTTTAGGAGTTTGTCCTCCCCCTTTTGGATATTATAGGGTGGGGGAGGTGGAGGAGTGGGCTTGCATATGCTTGACTAACACTTGTTCCTAATAAGTGTTACATACAGCACTGATGTTACCTGTCTGTCATGGGTTTGGAGGGAAAGTTCCATCCTATGGGGAGTGGAAGGCGGGACATCAGGAGGAGGGGCTGTACTGTATATATAGGTGGAGCGTGTGTGGAGAGACGCTGAGCAGAAAAAGCAGCAGCTGGGAAGAAGAAGCTGGTGTGGGAGTCTGTGTGTCAGACAGGGTACTACTGTGTGTCAGTCAGTACCAACCTGATAGGTTCAGGTGTCTGTATGGTTAGCCAGAACTGATAGGTTCAGGGTCTGTGCTTCAAGTTAAGTGTTCTGTGTGAACCAAACTGTATGCATGTATGAATGAGACTAAGCCACGTTACTATATCTTATTCACCTGATCATTTTATTTTCCCTGTGTGTTGTATTTAAATAAACCTTATTCTTTTATTTGTTGAAAATCCATCCCTGGTCTGTGTGACTTCTTATAGGGAATGGTTGGTGGCAGCTTAGTGAAACTGTGGCATAACCCAGTAGGTCTGGGTTTGTCACAATAAGGTCTTAAAAGGGGTCAGTATATGCACATCTATAGGTACACAGGCCCTCTCTGTGGAATCAAGGACCCTGGGGGGGGGCAGAGGAATCAGAGGTCCCATTCACATATAAAGAGGCACACGTGAGGCTACTGTCAATACATGGAGACTGGATTTGTGTAATCTCACTGCCACTTCTTTTCAGGCATTAATGACTCAAAGGGGCTATCATGTCCATGAAAATATTCACCACAGCCCTGCCTTCCACTCATTTCCACCAGGAAATTTGAAAAGAGGACTCCTAAAGCCGTGAAATTCCTGAGATAATGGCAAGGCTGAGCATGCTGTCTGCTCTGCACCACCCAGCCTTTGGTCTCTCATCTCCAAGAGAGAGAAAGCAGCCACAGCTGTCCCTTTTGCCTTTCAGAAATCCTGTCTGGGGACGTCTACATTGGGAGAAACAAACAGTTATGTCACGTGAAGACTATTGACTGGGACGACATCATCCGGGAATCCAAATTCCAGGCTGTGGTCCATGACAATGGAGAAAATTGTGAGCATACCAGCTAATAGTAGGCTGAGAAGTTTGTATGTGCCCTTTGGACTAACCTTTCCATGATATACATTTACACAGAGAGTTTGAAAGGCCTTGTTCTCACCCAGTGGCTTAGCTCAGGGTTCAGGAACATCTGGCCCTCCTAATGTTGCTGAGGTCTAACTACCATCATCTCCCACAATTTGCGGTGGTAGTGAGAGCTGATGGAAGTCCCAACAGCCTGTAAAAGTGCAAATGAATTAGTCTTTCAGGGTTAATATCTGGATTTTTGGGTTTGGAGTTTATTTGGCCAGTAGTTTCAAAAAAGCCAGTTCCCCAGCCTTCTATAGGAGAAGATCAATTGAGAAAGCCTCTGGACCCTATATCTTCCCCTTTCATCCCCACACAATCTCATTCCCTTTTATTGTACCATGCCTGCCTCTTCTATCAACCTGCAGCAGCTACATAGTCGCTCCCAAGCTCAGCCGCAGTAGAAGCAATCATTTCATCCCCCTCCTTTTTTCAGATAGATTTATACCCCACCTTTGTACCTTTAGGGAACTCAAGGCAAGATACATAGAATTCGCACAAAACCTCCCTTTCAAGCACTGAGCAGACTGACATCTGCTCAGCTTCAGAAAGAACATTTGCTAGATTATATGACATCTTAGATTAAGGTTTCTCTGAAGATCCTATGCATGTTAAGAAAAATCATAGGGAAAGTTAGGTCTGTGTGCATCATTCATTATAAGCTTATCTTGACCCACAATACTTGTTGTATTGGTTTTAATGACTGAGGCTGTGTGGTTTTTTTTATTATCCCTTTCTGACCAGGTCCTCCATGCCATGAGAACTGCAATGGGCACTGCTGGGGTCCCGGTCCTGAAGACTGTCAAAAGCGTAAGTGAGGCTAAGTCTCCAGACGTAATCTAGACGTAATCTGTGTGTGGGGGGGAAAGGGTTAGGGTTTGAACTACCAGGAGAATGGACTGGATCACATGGATCTTGACAAATGAAGGATGAGAGAGAGTTGCCTGTCTCTCCCCCACCTGTGCAGTGCCAGCACACAGAGGCTCCTTTAAACACAGTGGACTGTGAAGACTAGCAAAGTTATTTCCTTAGCCTTGACCCCTTCATAAAGTATGACTACAGCAGCATCATAGGGATAGTGTTGAGTTTAGGGTGTGTATGGGTTTCAAACAAAGGATAAAGTGGATATTGCCATTATTTCTTGTGAAGGTGTGGAAAGTTTCTGTGCCAACAGGTAGCAAGTCTACATTAGCTTGTGTTGTGTAGCCCATGTTCTAGGTGTGCACAGGGGAAAGAGAGGAGGAGTTGATACAGTTACAGTGAAGACCCAAAATGTGGCATTGACTGTGTCTCTCCTATAATTTTTCCTCCTTCCATTGTAGTGACCAAGACCATCTGTGCTCCTCAGTGCAATGGACGCTGTTTTGGCCCCAACCCCAATGAATGTTGCCATGACGAGTGTGCAGCAGGATGCACTGGCCCTCTCAAGACAGAATGTTTTGTATGTACACCAATCTCCATGTCCAGCTTTCCTTTGGGGAGAGTTCATATGGCTGGTCCCAGTCAAGAGAGGAAGGGAGGAGGAGATGTTGAGGATAAAGATCATGAGGAATTTGGCTTTCAGTCTGGGCAGATCTGTATGTTTGTGCATAGGGGATCCTGCCAGCTTAGAAGGACACACTCTCCTTATAGCCATGCATCCCTCAGTATTCGTACCATAACCGTGCCAGTTTCTTCAATGTGGTTCTCCTTCAGGAAGATTTGTGTTTCCACCGAGAGCCATTTTACCTCTCTCATGGGCTGCTTCCTTTTTTGCTTCTACAAACTGTTAGCTGTCATTTCTCTCACTTTCTCCTAAATTCTTTCACTGCCTTTGCCCAGTCGGCAATGAGCCCAATTGCTAATCTTATCCAGCCTTCCACCATCCCCTAAACTTCATTTTTTACCTCAGTATCCTGCTTTACCTTTTCCCCACATTCAGCTACAGTTAACACCGTTCTCCTCTCCCTGTTTTCAGTGGGATACCCAGAACGACATGAGGGCTGCCCAAAGAGGCCATTGTTTCCCACTTCACCGCCCCACCCCCCCAAGGATGGATTTGTTCAGTTTTGGTGGCAGAACAGGGGGAGGCTTGAATCTTTGTTCAGAGAGAATGTTTGGGCTCTGGGTCTACAGTGACAGAGACCGAGTCTCATCTGTCTTTTCTTATCACACCATGTCTTTCATCCCAGGCCTGCCGGCATTTCAATGACAGTGGGGCATGTGAGACGCGCTGCCCCCCACCGTTGATCTACAATAAGCTCACCTTCCAGCTGGAGCCCAACCCTGATACCAAATATCAATACGGTGGCATCTGTGTCAAAAACTGCCCATGTAAGTCAGGGCTTGGAAGAGCAGTGCTCCAGGGAAGGTTGTCTCTCCCATCTGGAGATGAAGGCTCTTCCTTGGGGTGGACTATCTTCTTTATTGGGGAGACGTTGTGAGTTGTTGCAGCAATTCTGCTGCTTGAGACAGGAAGCCAAGAGCTGTTTCTTTCCATGCATCACCGCCCTGAGAGAAAATGAACCCCCCCCCCCCCCGTTGCAAGCAGAAACACCTCCACCCACTTTGCCCCACACCATCCATTGTCCGTGGAAGCAGAAGCAGCTAGCGGTGATTACTTTAGACATCCTTCCCATTCTGCCTTGGCTCTGAGAGAATCCCTCAAATGCAGAAATTCAGGTACAAAAAGAAAGGAAGAAATAAAAGATCAAGGAAGGCTACCCAGTGGCTTGGTTCTTCTTCCAACAGTGGCCTTCTGCAAGGAAGTGGGCAGACATTCTGATACTTCCAACTGGTGTGTGTGTGTGTGAGTCCTTCCTTCCTTCTGTCTGTCATATTAGGATGCTGCGGTTTGCTGGATGTGGAGGAGGCAGAAGAAGTGGCACGTTTGCTGCCCATAGCACTCCACTGCCTGAGGGGCCCTCTCAGGTGTCTGGCTGGCAATTAGTGATGATGCAACTCTGGTGGCGGCTACTCAGAATTTGTGGAGAAGCCCCCAAGACAAGACCTGCCCAGCATGTGCCTCTTGAGCGTGGAGGCTTCTTATCTGACTGGCATACCGTATTTTTTTTGCTCCATAAGACGCACTTTTCCGCCCAAAAAAGGGGGGGAGGCTTATGGAGTGAAGGTGGCGATTTCGCTCCCTCTGGCCCTGTGGGGAGGTGGGTGGAGTCTCCCAAGGGTCCGAGTCTGCCTTCCAGGACCCTTGCAACACTCTCCCACCCCCCACAGGTCCAGCGCGGGCGAAATAACCAGCTTCCAGGACCTTTTGTGAGGCTTTCAAGCCTCACAAAAGATTCCGGAAGGTCGTGATTTCGCCCCCGCTGGCCCCGTGGGGAGGTGGGGGAGCATCGCAAGGGTCCTGGAAGGCTCACTCGGAACCTTGCGACGCTCCCCCACCCCCCCTACAGGGCCAGAGGGGGTAAAATCACCACCTTCTGGGACTCTTTTGAGGCTTGGGAAGCTTCAGAAGACTCCCAGAAGGTGGCGATTTCACCCCCTCTGACCCCCGGGGGGGGCAAGGTGAGTCTCTAAAGGGTCCTGGAACACACCCTCGGACCCTTTGGAGGCTCACCCTGCCCCCCCCTGCCTGGCCAAAGGGGACGAAAGTGCCACCTTCTGGGACTCTTTTCCCCTCTGGCCTCCAGGGGGGGGGGGCTGGCTGAGCCTCCAAAGGGTCCTAGGGGGTGTTCCATAAGACAGACCTCTCCATAAGACTCACCAAACTTTTAGGAGAAGAAAACTTTTTTTTCCTGTTTTCTTCTCCTAAAAATTTGGTGCATCTTATGGAGAGGTGCGTCTTATGGAGCGAAAAATACAGTATATAGTTAACAGCCACCATGTAGACTCAGTCTGGAGGTGTGGGGTGTATAACATTTGAATGGCCGCTGAGACAGAGATTGGATATCAGGTAACATATGCCTCCATGGGGTGTGAGTTATTTTGAGGAGAGGTGTGGGGATTTGGTAAAGGGTGGGTAAGTGAACCTGTTTGTGAATGTGTGTCCATGCGTGTACTTCCTCTGCTGGAAGTAGCAACAACCGATGCTCCCTGAATTCTACAGCAACATTTTGCGCTGTTTTCATTCCTGGATCTAGTATGAGAAGATGTGATAGCCAAAATCACTGCTTTGTTGTTGTTTTTAAGTCGAAACATTTTACCTTCATCTATTGAAACAAGCCATTAATTAATACCTTTATCATATAAGTGTTATACCTACCATTTTTTGAAATCTAGAGGGAGAAAGCGTTGCCAGCAACATCTTCCTTCTGTTCGTATTCCCCACACCTCACCTCTTGTTATTTACAATTCCTTTCAAAATTTCTGCAGATAATTTTGTGGTGGATCGGAGTTCGTGCGTCCGGACCTGCCCTAATAATAAAATGGAGGTCGAAAAAAATGGCCAGAAGATATGCCAGCTCTGTGAGGGACTCTGCCCAAAAGGTATTAATGGAATACAGAATCACTTGGGATTGGCTATGTGATGATCTTCTGGAGGCTGGATGGGCAATGAGGTGCTAGCCATGGGCTCTTCTGGCTTTCTGAATGGAATCCGTCTAAAGAGGAAGGCTAGGAAGGCTCCCTGCTTCTTGGCCCGGTAGTAATACTGTATCGTAATAAAGGTTTCAAATAGAACATACACATTTTTAAACTATTGGATGTTCAAAAGGAGTAGATTAAAGGATTCTAATAAAATAAAATAAAATAACACAGTGAGCCATATCTTCATTTTATAGAGGGAGATATTAAGAAGTTGAGCTGTGATGAATTTATGAACAGATTATAAGAATACATGATTGAAGTACATGCAATTGTTGGGCATAACAGAAAATTCTAGAGCTAGTTTCACCTAAAGAAAACAATAGCTGATACATGGTATTAACTGAATGGCTATGGTGATCAAGCTATTGTATAATTTAAAATTCTGTGATATATCATTCTATGTGGTCACTCAGATTCAATATTGATTGATTGTTCTATTTGTAACTATATCATTAATTTTTAGACTACAGTGTGTGCCGTGAGCTTTTGGATGATTCAGGGTTATGTGTCCTTGTCAAATGTGGGGGACATATGTACTGTATGTCAAATTAGGTGCTCTCAATCTAATGATTGAGCTGAGAGCAGGGCTGGTTTTCCTGTTAGGCAGAGTGAGACATTGGCCTCGGGCAGCATGAAAGCTTGTGCTTTCATTAGCAAGGAAATTACTGGGCTTCTATTTCTGACCCTCTCTAGAATGAGCCTAAACAAGATTCCCTCTAGTGCTTTATGGGACATTTGCATTTTATGAATACCTTGCACAACTATAGAAAGAAAACTGAGACGGTACCTTGTAGCTACTCTAAAACTTGGGACTGTTCCCAATTGCCTACTCATCCTTGGCCTCTCCTGTCTAATGACTTAATTTCTTGTTCATTCTTATTAATGAAAAGGATGTCTCAACACATGGAGACATCTAATCGAAAAAAACTGCTAGCTCCTGCAAGATTTTAAGCTCCTGCATGAAAGAAACCCCTCCCCACCCACCCCAAAAAATCCAGACCATTTTTGGTAGCAGCACAGTAGCAAAAGCTATTGCATTTTGCATATAAAACATTGTATTTCATGCTAACATTTTTGTGCTTTAAAAAATCCTTGTATCTTGCACAAAATATGTTTTGCTGAAAAAAAACATGTGGGAGGGGGAATCGTAAAGTGCACAACATCCATAAAACTTCTTCTAACCTCACCCAGTGAAAAGTTTTGATATTTTTCATCAGCAGTGGCAGCAATGAAACTATCAGCTCCACAGAGGTCTATCGGGAGGGGGCTTTACATTGGTATAATTCACCTCTCTGATGACACATTTTGCCCAACTGTGCTTTGTCTCTAGCTTGTGAAGGGACTGGAATCGGGAGCAAATACCAAACTGTGGATTCCAGCAATATTCACCACTTTATCAACTGCACCAAAATCTTGGGCAACTTAGACTTCCTTATCACTGGTCTGGAAGGGTAAGTATATGTGCTTGAATTGTGTGCCTAATGCCAGATCACATTTATCTATGGGACAAGACTCTGGTTGTTATTAATGTTTATTAATGTTTATTATTGTCTTATGATAAGTGGTTGTTGAGGAAGCATAGTGTCAGATTCCCAGGGAAGAGCAACCAGTCTATATGGCTAGCCACTGATTCTGAAAGCCAGTATAGTGCAGTGGTTGAATCATGGACTCTGACATGGGAATCAAGCTTCTAGTCCCCAGTGGGCAACCGTGGGCCTTACTCCCACAGCTGTATTGTTACTGACCTGCTTGACCTGTCTACCTCAAAGCGTTGTTGTGAAGATAAAATGATGACTGGGAGAAGAGCCGTGTTTATTGCCTTGAGCTAAGTAGAGGAATGGCAAGACAGAAATGGAACTGATAAACAATAGGTAATAATTTTGCCCATTTCTTCTCTTTGCTCGCAGAGACCCATGGCACAATATAAGTGCTCTGGACCCAGAAAAACTCAACATCTTCCAGACAGTACGAGAGATCACAGGTGAGCTGGGACATGGGGTGGGCAGCATGTATGGGGTGCTCTGTTTTCCCACCAAATTCGGATCGTAAGGAAGGGCTGTGCTCCTCCATGCATGGCTCTGCGTAAGCAAAATCAATAAACAGAAGTGACAGATAGAATGTTAGACAGGACAAGGTTTAGAGGTCATGTTACTTTGGAAAGACATTATGGGATGTCATGGGAAAGTTACTCTCTTGGACTAGAAATCCCAGAATTCCCCAGGCAGTTAAAGCCCTCCAAAGCAAATGTCCTCAGTTTTAAGAAGGGACATATTCTGGCTCCTAGTTCATTTGGGGGAAAGTGCTGAGATCCATCTTTCTCCTGTGACTGCCAGGAACTGGGTTGGACATGATTCTGTACAATATGCAGCAGGAGAAGCCGTGTAATTCTCAGATCAGTGTGGACCACAAGAAGAGTACCACGGTGTTGTTAGAAAAGTGAGCTCACAGAGCAACAGTGTACTACTGCCTGGGGAAAACAGGACTGGCATAGAAGATTGACCCCAATGCCCCTCTAGAATGTTGAGAGATTAATGAACTTCATGTAGAGGGCTATGGCCCTAGGAGGTAGAAAGCTGGGGCTGGTGGAGGTGGAATGAAGCTTGTGGGGAGATGCCTAAGAAATCATTGGCCTTCTTGCTCTTAGGTTACCTGAACATCCAATCTTGGCCCAAACACATGCACAACTTCAGTGTCTTCTCCAACCTGGCCACTATTGGTGGACGCAGCCTTTACAAGTAAGAATTGCTCCTTCAACTGCCTTCCTCTGGTTTTCTCTTGAGTTGTAGGAAGCTTGATGGGTTGTCCTATCTTCAGGTCATACCTGAGCTGTGCCTACAGTACAACACACCTCTTGTGGAGCAGTGGGCAAGCACGTCTGAACAATCACATCAGCAACAGTGATAGTAGGAAGTCTGGCTGAGTCTTTAATCTAATTGTTTACTGAAACTCAACTATATGAACACTCCATTCTGCATTGTTCAGGGCTTGGGCTGGAGAACCAGAGATGGACCTTGCCTTCCAGTTTTCCATGTTTGTTGTGCAGAGAGATCTTCACCCACTCATGTTAGACGATAATCCATTTCTTCCCAGGCGTTGCCTTGTTCTTTTTCCTGGAGCTGATTTAGGATTGTGCTTTTTCTAGCCGTGGTTTTTCACTGCTGATCATGAAGAACATGAATGTGACCTCTTTGGACTTCCGCTCACTTCAGGAGATCAGTGCCGGCAAGGTCTACATCACTGAGAACCGGCAACTGTGCTATTACAACACCATCAACTGGGAACGCCTTTCACGCCGACGTTCGGACCTTGATATCAAGAGCAACAAACCCGCCAGGAAGTGCAGTGAGTGTGGGGACAATAAAAAGGTGCCTGGGGGGTTAGAAGACATGTATGGAGGCTCCGTGTGCTGGGTTCCATTCACACGCACAATCGCAAACAACATGACATTCCTCTGTAGAAGTTCTTCAGGAGCGTGGCCAATGTCAGTATAGACAGTCTTTTGTACTTTTGCTCTTTCCTTTTCCCTCTCCTCTCTTTCTCTCTTCAACCTCGCATCCCCAAGATACGGGCATCATCTTTAGGAGTGAATTTTTCATTTCTTCTCCATTGGGACATGGGTATCCCACACTTGTCCTCCTCATCTTTCTATAGAAGGATCCATCTCCCCTTCTGCAGTGGACTGAAGAATTCAGAAGTTGAATTGCTGCTCTTTCTCTTTCCTTTCACTTGTATCCTCACAACTCCTCTTCACACATGTGCACATGTGTGCGTGCACACGCACACACAGAGCAGCTTCTTTTGTATGACTGCATGTTGCTGAAAAGCACCCAGCTTTTCTAGCCATAGATACAAGGCACCCACAGCTGGGATACTCTGTCCTTTCTTGGCCCTGACTAGATGCTTGTATAGTCCAGTTAACTCATATGGTCTAATTAAAATCCCCTTAGCCTACGGTGCGCCAGAGGAGCCAAGCAAAGGGAAGGCAGAGACCTCTCCCAGCCCAGGCAGCTCTTAGGAACATCAGGAATAGGTGCTTCATTTACTGTCAGGTGGGCCGTGAGTGTGCTTATTATTCTTAAATACAACACTGTTGCTGGTCTGCAACAAGTGTGGCAGTGGGAGACATCTAGGACATTGGACCTTCGCTGTTTCCTAAAAAAAAGCTGGCTTTAAAATACTGAATCTGTGACCTTCCCCATTGATGAGATTGTCCACAGATTATTCAGTGGGATAAGAATGGGTCTTAATGTCTGTCTTTTCTGGGGAGTCGGTGCCTCCTAATTTAAGGTAGGGGTTCGGGTTATGATCCAAGCACTCTCTTTCTCTGCCAGCCCAAGAGGGGAAAGTCTGTGATCCTCTTTGTTCCCGTGACGGCTGTTGGGGGCCCGGGCCGGACCAGTGTGTCTTCTGCCGCAACTACAGTCGCGAGGGGACCTGTGTGGAGTCCTGCAGCTTTTATGAGGGGTAAGAGCAGCCAGGCATGGGTACGTCCTTCCTTGTCTCCTCATTGCCTCTTTCTCTCGGGTTTGTAACATCTTCTCTCTCCATATTGGCAACTTGTAGGGAGGTTCGAGAGTTTGTACAAGGAGGTGCATGTTTCCCGTGCCATCCCCAGTGCCAGAAAATAGAGGGAGGTCTCACCTGCAATGAATCGGTATGACTCCTGTTACATAGCAGATGCGGATGTAGAGCAAAGTTCTGTCTGGTTCAGTTGGTGTTTTTTTTTAATACCAGAAACCATATTTCATAGGCACAAGGCACACACCCACTTTTAAAATAACTGAACAGAGCTACCCTGTATGGGAACACTTTGTCTGAACAAAGGCAGCCTTCCCTATGGTCAGAAAAGAAGTTCAATTAATCTTCTCTGGGAAGTTATGTTATAGACCTGGGAACCAAACAGTAAAGAAGCAAACTTCAGGCACCTAGACTAAATCCATTCGTCTTGGTGGCCTAGTCTGGCTCTCCAGGGTTCCCTGGACAGCTGTGCCCCCCCTGCCCAGGATTCTGTTGTTTTGTGGTTTCCTAGCTTTTCTGTGTTTTCCCCCAATCTAAAAATTCACAAAGCTTCTCCTGATGCTTAGTTGCTGGCAACCAGTGCTTTCAACTCTGGTGTGCTGGAATTTGGGTTCCATCTGACCCTCTTTGGCCTTGCCCACCCTGGGAAGTTTTTGGAAATAAAAGTTGGCCCTCGAGCTAAAAAGCATCCTTGCTTTAGGGGGTATTTTTAGCCCTGTAGTGATATCAACCTAAAGCGAAGCCTGTTTTGTAAGAACAAACCAAACCAAATGCTGGCTGAAGGAGATACAATTTGCAACCTCTTCCAAAGTGCAACAGAACAGAGAAGTAGATGTTTCATGCCTGTGCAGTGGAAAGATCTGAATGTTTTAGAGCCTTTGCCATGAAGGTCTGCTTGCAGCTACCGCCATTCCCACTGGTCACAAGGATGGAGTAGCAAGCAGTACCAGCTGAACAGGCCTTACTTGGAAGAAATGCAGAGAGGTCCATGCAGGAAATGCACTTTAGATGCTGCAGGGTGATGCTAAATTTTGCATTTCAGACAAAATGTCTCAGGCTGATCCCAGTTGCCCCTCACTCTCCAGTTATGGGAAGTTCAGAAGTCAGTTCATGTAGGGTCAGGTATCTTGTCATGGAGGGAACACTGAAGGCTTAGTTACCTTGGTGAAAACCTCTTTTATTTGCAGTTGTACAATTTGAGAACAGACTTTGCAAGTCAAAGTCCCAAATCCTATTAATGGAGAGTCCCATAAACCCTATAACCTCAAGACACTCTGGGCATCTTCTCCTAAGTATTTCTTTCTGGTTATATCCAAGCAGCTATAAAAGAACTTATGGGGAAGAACTCACTCAGTTCTAGAACTCATGCTTGTTCCAGTCACAAGTTGAGCATCTCAGTGGGAGAATCGTCTTGTCCTTTTCCCTTTCCCCATTGTTTATGGAGAGAGGGAATGCTATGGGTCTCTTAAATGAGTTTCATCCTCCTCCCTCCCATTTTGCTCCTCAGGGTGCTGATGGCTGCACCAGTTGTGCGAACTACAAGGATGGGCCCCACTGTGTAGAGAGCTGCCCTGAAGGTATCCTAGGCGAGAAGGGCCTTATCTTCAAGTTCCCGGATGCCAACAAGGAGTGTCGGCCATGTCACGAGAACTGCACACAGGGGTAAAGGTTTTATCAGAGTGTCATCAGTCAGACCTCTTCTGTTTTGATGGTGGCTTCTCTTGCTTCTCACTCACTCACTGCATGTGCAATCCATACAGGAATAGGTCAAAGGACTCTTAAAAGTTTTAAAATGTAAATTATTGAGGATATGTAAAGGAGAAACAACAATTTGTGCATAGAAGGCCCCAGAGAATCAAAAGAGACTGGTACATTTTAAATATCAGCTGCATCGAAGAAAAGAGACCAAGATGATAGAGGTTGTTGTTTCTATATTGAAGGATCCACCAGGGCCCAATCACTGCTGGGTTACTTAAAGCCAGGGTGTAGTGGCAAGATTCATAGATAGCTATGGAATAAGCAGAGCTTGCAGACATTGCTTCTGTGGATTTTTGTTACCAGAATCTCATAGCCAATGGCATTGTGGGCATTTTTAAGAGATTCATTGGATGTAGCATGGATTGCTATGGTTCAGAGCCACAAGTATTTCTGTTGCCCATCAGAAACATGGGGTATGGCAGGAAAATGATAGGATGGGACCCAGCTTTGGACAAGCAACAGGATACTCTTAGAAGACCAACCCATTTTATATGGCACAGGCGTTCTGTAGACAAAACCTGCTTATGCCATATAAAAATTACATGTCCTTAAGTTATGAAAGCATTTGTTTTCTCTGCAGCAGGCTGACACTAGGGATGGGATTTTCAGAATTAATAAACTCCTGGTCCCATAATGTGGAGGGAACCCCTGGACTCAATTATATGGGACTGGGAGCCCTCAGACCAGCATGAGACAGAGTAGCCTGCTTACATCTATGCTGTTCCTGCTCTGCTTCTTCAAAATGGTAGAAAAATACCATGCTACACTGTGAGAGTCATGTGGAATCCTTGTAATATTTGTGAATGGAAAGGAATCCTCAAGATTCCTACAGTGGAGTGGGGAATTTTTCAACCGTATGGCTGTTCTATCTCATGTCATTTTGAGGGCTTCCAGTCTTGGGGGTTCCAAGCAGATTATGGAACTGGGAATTGATTAATTCCAAAATTCCCATTCCTAGCTAAAACTATTTCCTAGAAAATATTAGGTTTGTGTCCTGAAAGCTGCCATCACAGTGCTTTGGGATGGGGGGATAAATCTTTATGCCTGGCCACCAGAATAATGATCAGCTGTCAGTGCAAGGTCCCTCTTTTGTAGTGTTGCATGTGATGCAAAAGGAGGTGGACACAGGAGGTGAGATTTGTGGTTCTCTCTTTCTTCACTATAGCCTGCTAGATGCTGCAACTTTTCTTGGATGTGTATTCCCTGCCTCTTAGCCCAGGTTAATCATTGGGTTCTGTTCTCTATAGGTGCAGTGGTCCACGGATTGAAGATTGCTTCATGGAGGAATTGCCTGTTGCCAGGTACCTGTTAGGATAATGAAAATATGGTGATGATAGTGTCAGGATTTTGTTCTGTTGGTGAACAGGGAGTTAAATTTTAATATTGTAAATGAAGTGCCCCTGTTCACCAACAGAACAAAGGTAGAGGAAAAGCCAATGTAATGACTTACAGCATCCAGGTGAAGCAAGATGATGTAATGCTTAATTGTTAACAAGACCAGCTGTAAATGGAGAAATGTAATTGGTTGTTGTGAGTATAAATGTATACTGAGACAGAATAGCAGTAAGTCTGGTGGTCATTTACTTCTATGTCAATGCTTTGAATGTTACTATGCCAAATGTACCTTGCCTTGTATACAGTACAGTAGTGCCCCGCATAGCGACGTCAGTCTGTTCCAGATTAATCGTCGCTATGCAAAAACATTGCTAAACGGATCGAAAAAACCCATAGGAACGCATTAAACTTCGTTTAACACATTCCTATGGGGCCCAAACTCACCGTTCAGTGAAGTTCCTCCATAGTGCTGCCATTTTCGCGCCCTCGGTAAGCAAGGGCAGGGCGCGAAAACACTTGTGCCGCCCATTTTAGGCACCCGGCGGCCATTTTGGAACCGCCGATCAGCGGTTTAAAAAAACATTGCAATGTGAAGATCGGTAAGCGAAACGCTTACCGATCATCGCAATGCAATGTTTTACCCATTAAAACATCGCAATGCGATCGCATTAGCGATCGAAAAAATTAGATCGCTATGTGGATTCGTCGTTAAACGGTGCACTCGTTAAGTGAGGCACCACTGTATATATTTTGCCATAATCAATATAATACTGTATATTATTATTACTAAGAACTCTTTCATGTTGTTTTCTCTCCACGTCTAAGTCACTAAATCCCTAAGTCTCTTGCTTTGCTAACGTTAAAGTGGGATTCAACCAGACTCTAGGAACTTTTCTTGAGACCAGTGCCTCATTAAGACTCCGGCGTTTTGGCCCCACGCCAACAGATAGGCAGCCTCTACAAATAGTCCAAACTTAGAAAAGTTATGGAGAGCGAGTCAGCAGCTCCTAAAGTTGCTCAGCCAGCGTAGCTGTTGGCCATGCTAGCTCTTGAGATTCTGAGTGTTGTGATCTAAAGCGGTTACTTTTCTAAGCTCTGGAAACAAGTGGAATCCTGCTTCCTGGTTTTCTTGCACTTCCAGATGATGAAGACCAGAAATGGACCTCACCACCCAAGAAGACTTTCTTGGGAGGATCCGAAGCTTGGAGTTAGAGCCCATGATTTTCATAAAAGGCCCTAGATTCCATTTCTGGTCCCTCCCATTAAAGAGCTTCTCCCTAAAGCATTTGAGCACTGTAGCCAATCAGAGTAGAGAGTAGAGGACTATAAGGTCCAGTGCTCTGACTCACCACTAAGGCGGGCCAGAGCGCTGACTCAACTGAGTTTCTATAATCCAAGAATACGAAAACCTGCAAGACACATAAGAGGACAAAGTCAGGCAAGTATCTGCATCACAATTAGCAATCTTTCATTCACAGTGCCATCACACCCAATTTTAAGACATTTCTCCTTCTACGTAAAATAGTATTGGCTTGTGTCCATGCACCAGTTTATATCCACAGTAAATGAAAAGTACTGTACTGTATTGTGCATCCTATACACTTTGAAGCAGGATCATGAATTTGACTGTGAATAGCTGCTGATTAGGAGGGACAATAAACTGAAAATAAACTGTGTCAATGAGTGAGATCTTGCTGAATGGGTAGTTCGGCACGCTGGTGCAAATTCTCCTTGAAAATTGTACTGCACTGCCTTTTATGAGAATCAGGAGCTGGATGTACAGAAGCATTCTAGTCTGGGTATGTTCTATAAGATAATTTTTTTAAAGCAAATATTGTCCTGGATATAAGCAGTTCTAGATCAGCATTTTACATTAAAAGAGTGAGCTGGACAGTCCCTGTTTTAAGGACCACCCTTAAGCAACCCATTCTTTAATACCACTGATTATCTTTATTTTCAATAGCGGGATAATAATGGCAACCTAACTTATAAGGGTGTCGCACAAATTATAGATCTAATAGGTTGGATCCAGATTTGTTTCATTAAAATCCAGAATATTTAAATTCTATGAACCTCTATGGGTTTGCTTAAGGCCCAAATAAATATGGATCCAACCCCATGTGCATGGGCAAATAAGAACACTTTTAAAAATTGCAAAAATGTAAGATAGTAGTGCTATTGTTATGACAACATGGACTAAATCCAGCAGTGAAGACCTGATCCGGTTCTCTTCTGAAATTTGTACTGGGTGCTCCCCCTGGAGGACCTTCATATGATACCCAGAAAATAACTCCCACAACCCGTGCACTTTTTTAGTATCTACACCAGTAGTTCCCAACCTTTTTCGAGTCACAACCCCCTTTTATAATAGCCAAGTAACTTGCAACCCCCTGCCATATTTGCATAGAAAGGCATTTTCAATGGGGTAAAGTCACCCCTTCTCAGAAGTAGAGGTTCCTTCCTCTCCCCAAAGGACCTGTTTCTCATACATGCAATTACTTTGTTATCTGGCTCCAAAAGGTCAAGAAAGAAATTATTTAACAAGGGCTACAACACATATAAGGTGACCCGTGATGCCCCAGAAAACTCTTCAATGAACCCCAAGTTGGGAAACCCTGATCTACACCATAAGGACTATTAATGACTTAATAGTTTTATTCTTTGAAGCACACAAGTTAAAAGATAAGTCCTTCACTGATATCTATAGAGATCTGGATAAGCCAAATAAATCAGGAATTTACACAAAGGTAGATCTTTTCTTGCTCACTTGTTTTCTCTCTCCTGACATTTTCCAGCCAAGAGAATCCTGATTCAAGGTCCCCCCCCCACAACCCCTGAAGCCAAACCATAGTTCTGGCCTGAATCCTCTCCAAGTTTAATGATGTTTCAGATACAGTGGCTTTAAGGAGCTAGATCTGATGAGACCATTTAGATTATGTCCACAGGCCCAGGAAAGGGGGGGAAACTGGGCGAGAGCACGGCTTCTTCTTCTTCCTGCCGTGCTTCTTCCTCCTCCCCTGAGCTTGTGGCGTTTTGTCTCTTTCCTTGTCCTTCTGCCTAAGAAGTGAGGCTCTTACGGTAGGTAGGCCAAGGGCCACATCATTGAGGTTGGCAGCTCTATCGTAGTGGTACGTCTCGAGACAGAAAATAGAATCCTTCCTGGGATGTAGATTTTGGGCCAGCCCCAAACCAACCCTCTGTGTCACCCAGGGCTGGCTTGTATGGGGCCATTCCCGCTTTCCGCTTACATTCCACCAACGGCTGCACCATGTGCTCTGCTCTCTCACCGCTGGTGCCAGTTTGCCTGGAGGCCTTTGTGGGCGGCAGGAAAAGAGAGGGCAGAGCCACGGCAGGCCTACACCTCTTGCCGGAGGGCCTGGATTGCCCCTGCCCTTTGATCTCCTTTCCTGCACTCCTTTGCTCTCTCCCCCACCCCACCCCCCTTGAAGCATGGCAAGGCATTCCTACTCTTGGGCAAAAGCTTGTTTCCCTTCCCCCTGGCTTCTAACGTCTTTTCAACAAATGGGATTGAGAACTTGAGAGACAGTGGGAGAAAGTCACCTGAGGAGTGGATTGTGCAAAGCTTGGCTTTGGAGCTTCCGAAGGGAATCCCCATGATATCAGTCTATGCCGGGTCAAGAAAAGGCAAGGCTTGGTTGTGGGATGGATGAGAGCAAGAGCAAGAGTGTTTTTTTTTAAAAGATAACTAAAGGCATTTAAAGATTACAAAAGGATTTGCCTTAAATGCTTTTGTGATGTTGTAAACTTTAGCCTATCTGTGTATTCTGGGGATTAGGGTTCTGTTTCACTGCCTGTCTTGAGCCCCTGAAACAGCTGGAGCAGAGTAATCAAGAGGCAGGACTCCTAATGTCTCCAGCCTCCAAAAGCTTAGGCAGGACATGCATGAGTCCCTTGACAGGAAAATGTCAAATCTGGGTGGTTTGAAGCTTTCTGTTGCATTTGTGCTGTGTTGGCTAATATGGCTTCTCTGTCCATTTCTCATGCTATCCTCAAAGCTTTGTGTGGTATGTACTGAAATTCTGCCACCCTTATAGTTGTCAGGTCTCTCTTTCTCTCTCTCTCCCTCCACATGGTGCAGTGGTTAAACTGCAGTGCTGCAGCCAAAACCCTGTTCATGACTTGGGTTCAATCCCAGGTAGCCAGCTTGAGGTTGATTCAGCATTCGATCCTTCCAAAGTTGGTAAATTTAGAACCCAGCTTTGCTGGGGGTGAGGACAATGTGTAGCCTGCATGATTAAATTGTAAACTGCTCAGAGAATGCTTTAAGCGCTATGTGATGGTACATAAGCAGAACACTTTTCTTTTCCTTCCTTCCTTCCTTCCTTTCTTCCTTCCTCCCTCCCTCCCTCCCTCCCAATGATATTCCAACTGCACAAATGCCCTGTCAGATCCCTCCCTGTTCCACCAAAGGCTGAACAACAATTTTTCAAGCTGAGCATTTGCTTTCATGTCTGTCGCACTGCAGCCAACACAGGGCCTGCAGACTTTCAAGACTGAGGAAAGCAGAGAAGGAGGAGGCTGTGCCCGAACAAAAGCAACGCTGTTGAAATGCTTTGGGCAATTTAATTTAAAAACGGAAAGTGAACACTTCCTAACTCCTATATAAGTTGTATCACATGACACTGCCTTTTGTAACTGTAGATTTAGAAGAGGTACAGTAGCTGTGTCAGTCTGTGCTAGCGTATCAGGTGAAATCAAAAGGAAAATAATTTTCAAAAAAAAAGACAAAAATATTGTGCCACCTTAAAGAACAATTGCTATATATTAATGTGAGCTTCCATGGACAAATCCACTTCCACATATTTTTAGCATGTGTTCCTGTTCTTTAGAACATGTCTAAATTGCCTGGCACAATTGCTAGAGAGCAAGACCACATGTCCGAGGAAGTGGACTTGTCCATGAAAGCTCACATTAAAATACAGCGGTTAGACTTTAAGGTGCCACAATGTTTCTATTTTCTTTATTTTTTTAATTTTCTGTTCTTTTTGCCTGATGTGGCACTGCCTGTCATTTAAGGTTCTTAAACAGATGCACATAAACAGTCTTAATTTTTCTCTACCCATCTATCAGTTTCCAACTGCATATTTTTTTCAAACTGCACATTTTGTATGCAACTGGATACTTCTTTTTTTAAAAAAAAACCACCTTCATGATTAGTGTGTGTATCCCACTTCAAAATGTTCTCAGTGTTTCACATCCATTATTCTCAATAGGTCTTTCAACATCCTTGTAGGGTTTGTAAATTTCCTTATTTCCAAGGGCACGTTAAGTCAGATTTCTGAGGGCAAGGAACTATGGAGGAATCCCTCCTTGTGATCGGTGAACATCTTAATACAGTCCAGATGCTTTAAAGTTTTAAAAGATTTTATTCAAACTCATGCTTTCGAACTACTGTTGCGCCCTGAGGGCCAGAAATTCCCTTTTTTATAAAAAGAAAGATGCTATTCTTGGCGTTGCTGAAGTCCCTCCATATTTACTACCCATTTCATTTCTATTGATGTACGAACAAAATGGTAGCACACACAGACCCCTGACTAACACCCAGTGTTTTGCATCCTAGGAAAGCCCCAGTAGTCATCGCCGTGCTGGTGGTGGGCTGCCTCTTCGTTTTCTGTTCCTGTGTCTTGCTCACCTTCTTGTACTGGCGTGGGAAGAAGATTCAGAAGAAAAGAGCCATGCGCAGATATCTGGAGAGAGGAGAGGTAAGGCTGTGTACATCCCACAGCTCATAGGATGCTAGGCTTGTTGGGTCACTGGTCGACAGGGACACAAACGGCTGGTTTGGCAATTCATCCCAGTTCGTTTACCACTGTTTGGCAGTCCGGCACCTCACTCCCTCTGAGGGGCGCCCACTCAGAAGCAGTGTCTTAGCTCCTCTGTGCTGCCTACTCCAGGCGCTGCTTCTGAGTGGGCAGTATGGGTGGAAGGCCACACACCTGTTGCGGCAGTAAACAAATGGGCATAAACCACTTCATGCCCATCTCTAGTCACTGGGGGCCAGAGCCAATCACTCCCAACCTTTCCAGTGGAGCATCCTTGGTGTGATGAGCTGGTTTAATTTTTATCACATGGACACAAGGAGGGCAAAGGGGGAACTTTTCTTTGATCACACTTTCTTTGCCATGAGGGATGCAAGGCATGTTGCCTCAATCTTTTACTTACTTGTCTGGGATGAAGTCCTACTGAACCCGATGGGACTCCGTTCGGAGTACAGATGTGCAGAATTGGATGCACTGCATGTGAGGATTAAGATGAGGATGAGAAACAGGGAATCAACACTATAGGGGGAGAAAAAAATGAAATGATGCTTTCTTCGTAGCTTTGGGAAACCATAGGAGTTAAAATGTTTCTTCAGTGGGGCTAAAAGGACTGAAAATAGTCTGTAAGGAACCAACAATACTGCAACCATGATCTCCTTGATAAACTGAGGGCAGCTGTTAGTGTTTCATGGTTGGTTGGTTTGACCTGACAGTGGTCTTGCTCTCAGCAACTGTGCTAGGCAATTAAGACACATCCAGAAGAAGAGGAACGTGTTAAAAATCAGAAATATTTAAAGGTCAGTGAGGAGGAAGGGGACTGCAAACTGTGTTGCTCTTTTCATCAAGAGATGTTGGAGATGTATGGGATAAAGTCTTTCTTTCTCTTTCTGTCCTCCTCCCCCACTTGCACACATTTTTTCCTGTAGAGTCTGGAGCCCCTGGATCCCAGCGAGAAAGCCAATAAGGTCTTGGCTCGGATCTTCAAGGAGACAGAGTTAAAGAAGCTGAAAGTCATAGGATCAGGAGTCTTTGGCACAGTTCACAAAGTAAGTTCAGGATTGGGAAGGGGCAACTTCCACTAATTCTAGGCAATCAAAAGCAGTTGTCTGGAGAGAGCGGCATGGGAAAAGCTCACTTCCTGTGAAGGGAGTTCAGAATTAAAAGGTTGTACCTAGTAGGTAAAATTGCTCCCCCCCCCTTTTCATTTTTTAGATCCTGGTGACTGAGAGATTCTGATAGTTATTGCCCAAAAATGTAACTTTCCCAAGTTCTGAATCTTGTTAGTAGAGATGGATTAGGGGCAGGAAAGCTGCTAAAATAGACAATGAATATCTATAGCAAGGTAAGCCAGTTTCTTCAGGCTGAAGAAGCAGGTCCTCCCCATTTAAATTAGTTGGTGGCAGGACATTATTATGGAGGCCTTAGGTGAGTTGGGGCACCTGGCTGTGGAGTTAAAGAGGTCAGGAATGTGTTTTTCCCCCACTATGCCTTGGAGGAGAGGAACCAATCTGTGTGGGCTTAGGCAAGCTGCATAGTCTCAGAGACTCCCCACCTTGCCCCCAGATGAAGGGAATGGGAAACTTCACATCTAAGGAATCTGTACATAGATAACCCTGAAAAAAGGTCTCCATGAGTTGAAATTAACTTGGTGGCATAGCATCATCATCATCATCATCATCATCATCATCATCATCATCATCATCATCATCATCATTACCCTTAATGCTGTTGAGGGCCACTTGTTCAACAGCATCTTCAGACCTTTGTAATAACAAAGAAGGCTTTGTCCTACCATTTTGTGGTGGAAAGGCTGCTAGTGTGACTGCTCAAAACTGCTAAAAAAACTGGTCTCACTGGCTAGGCCTTCCTCTCTCTCTCTCTCTCTGACTGTCATGTGGAGGGACTGCAACCATTAGGGTGATGACCCAGATGAGACCCATAGACTGCCTGTTCACTATCACTATTCGGTGATGAGGTGAAGAAGCCAACTCCTTCTTCCTCCCTTTGCCCTTTTGCATGGTGGGGGAAGAACTCCCTTTTTCCAGCTTCAAGAAGGAACAAATGGTATCGACTCCTCCCCTCAGAGGTGGAAGGGACAGTTGGTATGGTGTCTCTACTTGTGGTCCTATTTTGAGTGAGAGGGAAGACTCTCAGGGCTCATCCACACTGACTCTGTTGATACTAGTCTCAGCCAGGTGGATACCAGGATGTGACATCTATGCTTGTAAAGTTGAACATAGTCCCATGTAGATGAGACTGTGATAACTCACGTTTTCTCAGCAATTACTGTTCCATCCATAGTAAAGAGCTGGGATCAACTGTTCTTTCCCACCTTCAGGGTGTCTGGATTCCAGAAGGAGACTCCATCAAGATACCTGTGAGCATCAAAGTTATCCAGGACCCCAGTGGCCGGCAGACCTTCCATGCTGTGACTGATGTAAGTGTCACAAGGGCCATGGATAGATAGGGAGGTCGAGGCTGAACTCCTCAAGTCCTGGATCATTTCAGACCATTTATTAAACACTTAGCTTTTCTTGTTTCATAAAATGCACCCCTTTGACTAGGTGGAGGACAATGGAAGTCCATGGAAGTGGATCTACCAACATCTTTTTCTTTCCTAAAATGTAGCAAGGGGAATGGGGGTTTAGATTAGTGCATGTGAATATATGTGTGATTTTCCTTTCTACCACCCCCCCCCCGCATTTAAATCCCCCTCTCATGAATTGACGTAACTTTTGAAAACAAAAGTGGGTAATACACATGGCAAGTGCCTGGATCTCCACTGCACTGTGACTAACAACTGCTGGAAAGTGGGGCAAAAGTGGAAGGTGATTCAAACAGGAGAAAGTGGAAATGCAAAGTGTTGTCCCAGGCTTACCACCAATTGCTTTTAAACAAAGAAAAAAAAAACACACACCAGGAAGCGTTCACATTTGGTACATGGCTGGCACCTTGGGGTTCTTTCAGACATGTTAGGAGTTGAATTCCACTTTACGTGCTCCAATCCAGCTCAGGTAGTAAACTAATATACGTATTTGGGGGAAAGCCAAAATAGACATGAACTCTTTGCTTTCTCACATTGCCAAACCATTTATGAAGCACATATAAAACCTTGCCTTGGGAGGGAGGGTTTGAGACACAACTTAGTGATGGCAAGTTTTGCTCAGTTACATCTAAACTTCCTGTCCCTGAGCACTGGTGCCATCCAGTTTTCAGTGCCAGAGAGAAGATACCTTTAAAGTAATGCTGGTGTCTATGCATGGCAAGCAGGCTGTTTAGACGATTGCTCTTGGATGCCATCATCAGTGCGGCAGTACCCAAGACCAACTGCCCTTGGAAACCATTTGGAAAGGCTCATGCCTGGTGACCTCTCAGAAACCCTTTTCTGCCACTGCTAGAGAAGGAGATGGACCAGTTGTGCATGCCTGCATGGGCCAGCTTATTGGAGCCCTGTCAGACTGATGCTACTAGTGCCAATGGTCATGCTCAATGGCACACTGTAATTTTGCTTGGAGCTCAGCCAGACCCTTATTTCATTTTGTTTTTTCCTTGATGGTTTGATTCCCCCCCTTCTGTGTTTGCCTCTGTCTAGCACATGTTGGCAATTGGCAGCCTGGATCATGCTTATATTGTCCGTCTCCTGGGCATCTGTACTGGCACCCAGCTGCAACTTGTGACCCAGCTCCTTCCACTTGGCTCGCTGCTGGAGTATGTCCACAAAAACAAGGATGCAATTGGTCCCCAGCTGATGCTCAACTGGTGTGTGCAGATTGCCAAGGTAAGCACATGCTTTGCAGAGAAATATCTGGGACTATTCCTTAATAGCCCTTTCCCAGGACAATTCAAGTTGGAAGTCCTCTGTGTCAGATTATTGTTTGTGTTAAGAATAATATCTTACATCCATCTTACTCTTGTTCTTGTTCCTTCTGAGAATTACATTGCATGCATCCAGAATATTTAGGGAACTTCCTAAGCCTTAGTGAAAAGAAAAATCTCTGGGATGGATGCAAAGAAGGGAGAGTGGGATTTATAATCTGATTATATGGAAGTTAATCACCTACTAAATTGAATCTAAGAATTGCAACTTAAATGCCAGTCAAATAATGCGGCTTTCCAAGTTCCTCCTTTCTCTCTTGCAGCTCCTTGTATTCCTCTCTTGGCCCCCCTATGGTTCTTTAGGGTTCAGGGGCCATCTACAAAGACATGGGAGGAGCCCCAGAGGCTGCATGAGAGCCAAAGGAATTGTGAGAATTTTCTGGGATGAGATACTACCTCCTGGATACAAAAGCTTCTTTTTAACTATCTGGCTGCAGAGCCAGAGGTAGGGAGTGCAGTTCTTGAGAAGTAGATCCAGCCTGTATCATCCTGGGTATGCTACACAGTCCCTAGGGCATCCCCCAGAAGAAGGAAATGGAAAACCACTTTTGATTATTCTCTGTCTGGAAAACCCTGATGGACCTTATGGAAAACTCCATAAGTCAGAGTTGACTTGACAGCGCATGATGATTATTTAGTGATGCAAGATATCTCTGGATCCAGTCTCTTCCTTACCATTCGACTCTTAGGCAGAACTTTCATAAATACATACTTTATCTTATACTTAGCCCTTGCCTTTTCCCCCCTGTTTAATCTATAGAAGTTAATCCTACACATCACATGTAGGTCTCCTTGCCAAGATCTGCCATGGTGCAAAGGACAGGGTGAGAGGAAGGGCGAGACTTTACCTAAAGGCTCTGTAGGCACCATGAGTGGTCAATAGTCAGTGGCTTTGGGCACCCGATTGGCAGCTGATGACTGGCGCCAGTGGTTGAGTTATTAGAATAAGCATTTCACTAGGGTTAGTATAAATGGTATAATTAAAACTCATTTAGTTATACAATAATATGACTGCTGCTTTTCTCCAGTAGGTTTTTCGTTTTTGGCATAGTGTCTCTGCTTATTAGAATACATATATATTTTTTGCTGATACAGAAAGACAAATGCCAGAAACTGTCTACTGTCTTACAAGTATGAATTTGGCAAGTTCATCGCAACTCTTGAATATCGTTATCAGAGCCAGTCTTATAGCAATGGTAGACAAAGTTGCTCCAATCTGCAGTAGCTTGACAAGAATTTCTGGTTTTTTAACAATAGTTGGATCAAAATGCCCTTCTTCTGACCCATGTTATATTGCTGAAATCGGGGAAAGCTTGGGATAACCAAGAGTGGGTTTATGTATGAAAAAAATGTGAGCTTCATTCAGTTCTGGTACTCAAAACTAGTTTATAAATAAGTTCCTCTGTAAGAAGACAGTAACACTGGGCAAACTTTCCTGGAAGACAGTCTGCATTCTGTTATCAACATTTCCTTGAAATGTGCAGCTGACATTAATGTGTTCTTATATCTTGCTTTCTTAGTTCATAGGAGGCATCAGCAGGCTTCAACAGGCCTAGTCTAGCCCAAACTATGTGCGCACCCTAGAAATTACTCCTAAATTTTCTACAGTGTTTAGATTTTCCTCAGCCAATGAGTCAATGTAGAAAGTCTACCACATTTGGAAAGGGTTACTGTTGAGAAGAAAGCCACAAAATATGTTTAACTCGGTTCCCTAAAACCTGCTTCACTAAAATCCCTAATTCCTAACAATGCCACTCCAGGGATACCTCTGGTGATCACCTTTAGGAAAGCAGGTTATCCACCTGTTTCAGGGCTGCCTCTCTCTTGCAGGGAGAAGAGGTTTAAGTACTTGATTTTTATTTTGATAGGATGTATCCTAGATAAGGGGGAGGCACTTGCTTTGAAGTAGGGTTCTCATGAACGAAACAAATAAATCCAGGTGGTTCACGGATTGTAGCACATTCAGGTATCGGTTTTACCATCCTTGCATTCAGGGCATGTACTACCTGGAGGAGCACCGCATGGTTCACCGCAATCTTGCTGCCCGCAATGTTTTGGTAAAGTCCCCCAGCCAGGTACAGGTGGCAGATTTTGGCATTGCTGACCTGCTCTATCCAGATGACAAGAAATATTTCTACAATGAGATTAAGGTTAGTGTTTATTTGAGATCCAGTACCAATGGGTCAGCTCTTGTGCTGAAAATGTTGCAGGAGAGAATATTACTTCTTCATTCCAGCCAGTGGAGCTTCTGATGCATTCAGAGGGGCAGGTGCTAGAATTTGGTGAAGGAAACAACAGGCCTCAGAGAGTAGAAATCAAGAAACTCCTCACAGGAAGGGAAATGGTTCTGGAAGAAAATTCTTAGGTATATAAAGGTTTTGTGAAATGAGGCGAAGAGTAAATCTTGTGGGGGAGGGGAAATGACCATGGTTTTGACAAAACTCTTTCCAAACCTGGGGGTCAGGACTTCCAAGGGGGTCACAAAGTATTTTATAGGGGTGGTGGTGCGGTGGAAGGTCACATATCTGTTGTAGCCCTTGTTAACTAATTTCTTCCTTACCCTTTTGGAGTCAGATATTAAAGTTAGCTTGTATTGTATATTTTAGAATCAAGCAGAAAGAATCCTCTACTTTCTGTGAAGGGATGGCTTCTCCCCATTAAAAATGTCCTTTTATGCAGACATGGCAGGGGGGGCACAGGCTACTTGGTTATTATAAAAGGGGGGTTGGGAGCCACTGTTGTATTAGGAATGAAGTTTTAGGTTTTTTTTTTTAAACTTTGATAAATCCTTGGGAAAATAAATAATTTTTGAATTTGCTTCCCACAATAGACTAAGAAAAGGCTATGGGAATATTCTATCTGGCTCAATGTATGTGTGTATGTGTGCATGTATATGGAGCTTCAACCTCTAAACTGATGTCTCTGGCTTTTTTATTTTTCAGACACCAATAAAATGGATGGCTCTGGAGAGCATACACTTTGGAAAATATACACACCAAAGTGATGTTTGGAGTTATGGTAGGTGTCCCAGACACGCCAGCTTCTCAGTCTTTACCATCATAGCAAATCTCTATAAGTGGTGGGTTTTTTTTAAGAAAAATTATGTTCAAGTTCAAAGTATCCAAGTTAAGGATTAATTTAGTTTATCTTCTAGGATTCAGGCTTGTTCCCAACCTAAATGTAAGCAAAGAAACAAACAAACAAACAGAAGAAACAGAGAAAAGTCATGGTGGATCAGATCAAAGGCCAACATCCTGTACTCAAAAGGATCAATCAGAGGCTGCTGGGAAGCCCTAAGTGGGACATCAGACACCAGCATCCTCCCGTGACTGGTCCATGCCCCTGAGTGAATGGTATTGAATGGCACACGGCCTTTGATACTGCATTTTCTCAATCCCCTATTAAAGCTCCTATATCACTATCCGTCCCACTGTCTTACAGTGGGGAATTTCCTGGCTTAATGATACACAATATGAAAAGCACATGTTCTGGGCTGTATTCCCAACTTTTTAGCTTTATTTAAGGACCCTGGGTTTTGGTCTTATGATAGATATAGAAAACCTATTCCTACCCACTTTCTCTACACCAGATATAATTTTAGACACATACGTCCTCTTTATTCAGCTTTATTCTAAGCTACAGAGCCCCGAATGCTGCAGCCTTTGCACACCCTGAGTATGTTAAAAGGTCCCTAATGAGCAGATCTTGCAAAAAGAAAGGCAAAGAGTTGCTCCCAAGGATCTTAGCAATGGCAACCAACGCAAGAGGTGTGAGGCACAGCCTACTCTTTTGCGGAGGTGAAAATAAGAACTATGGTTTGGCACGATTCATCCTGTCTGAATCGAGATGGGTAATGAAAAGAAAGGAGTCAGAGAGAGATTGGCACACAAGCCCTTGGAAACCATCCCAGCTGTCTACTTGGGCAAGGTCCCATTTGCCTTTTTAGGAATCCTTGCCGTAGACTGGGAGCGCTTATGCTTTGAACTGGATTTTGTGTCCGTGGGTTGGAGCATAATTCCTGGTGAGGTTTGTAAAAGTCTTCCAGGTTGTCAACAAGACGGCCTACCTTGGGCCAGCACAACATACTGTATAGCCCTAAGAGATTCTCTTCTCTAGGCTAGCATTGCTATACCACAGCAGCCAAACATAGCTGAAGTGTATAAAATATTTCAGAAACTCTCCCTTGTATTATGAGATTTGTTTGTCTGTTTTTATAATTAAATATTGTAGCTACTTTTGAGAATGTAAAGAGTTACTTTGATTTTTTTTTAAACTTTGGAGTGTCTTATTACTTCTTTCAGAACTTGGAACTATAACTGTAATTAGCTGAAAGTGACTTTCCAAGTTCTGTCCCAATTTCTGTATAGCCACCCGCAGTACGGCATGTCTAGTGCATTCTGTTCATCTATGTTCTCTGTGACTTCATCCACTGCAGGAGTGACATTGTGGGAGATGATGACCTTTGGAGGTGAACCGTATGCCGGAATCCACCTGTCTGAAGTGCCTGACCTTCTGGAGAAAGGAGAACGTCTCTCACAGCCCCAGATCTGTACCATTGATGTCTACATGGTGATGGTTAAATGTATGTGGCGAGAGTAACCTTCTCACTCCTGGGGAGATGCTTGACTCACTAGAGAAATGTTTTCCCCACTGAATACCCCAGAATCCATGAGTGTTGCCCTGGGCCATGGAAGATACCTTAGGTGATGACTGCCTGAGAGATTGACTCGCCTTCTCTAATCCCACACAGGCTGGATGATTGATGAGAATATTCGCCCCACTTTCAAAGAGTTAGCCAACGAGTTCACACGTATGGCCCGTGATCCCCCTCGCTATCTGGTGATTAAGGTGAGTGATGCTTTGGCCCAACACCTCCCTTCCATCTGATGCCACAAAGCAAGGCTGTGGACTTCTTCAAATGCCCTTACCATGCTGTGAGTCTTGGCTTCACTCTTCTGCCCCATTCTCAAACCCATAGGAAGCTGCTTCCTATCAGGTCCCACCATGGTCCACACAGATGGTCAGAAAACTCCCAACATGGTTGTGCATGTTTGTGTTTTGGGATATATATTTGTTAAAAATTATTAACCTTGTAAATGCGGTGAGGGAGGGTAATGCTTGTTTCCCACCCTCCCCTCCCACAGAGAGAGAGTGGGACACTTCCCCAGTTTGAGCCACCTACACTCAGTGAAAAGGAGCTGGATGAGATGGAGACCCTGGAGATGGAGACCGAGGAGGAGGAACTCAATAACCTCTTTGCCTCCAGGCAGTGGGTCGACTCTCCTCGGGTAAGAGAAATATCCCCTTACCTTG